GAAAGACAAGAGGCATAGCTAGGTAGAGAGATAAGAACCTCAACTCCCAAGATATCCGGGAGGAAAGCCAGGGCACAATGTCTTAATGTTTGAGACAATGTTTTCACAGCAACTATATCCATAACTTCTCATTTGTGTAAATTAAATAAATCTTAAGGCTCTTTCTTGACCCCCTCTTGGCCATGGGGATACCCTAAACGGAGTTGCTAGCCATGAGAAAGGAGATCAGACATGCCTCAATGTCCCCCTGCTTTCTCAGAGACCTTTAATAGGCCTAAGGCTAACTAAGGCATACCTACGGTCCTCAACATACAGAACAAACCACTAGAACCTGGGCAGAGGTCCAATAGTTTGTCTCTAACTAACAGACCCTTATCTTAAATCAAGCATTCATTTTAGCTGAATCCTGGTCTTTTAGAAAAAGTCTCTTTCAGCTAATTGTCAACTGAGGAATCTTTAAACCCACCCATATCTGTAACCCACCCCCTCACGTTGACATGTCCCACCTTTTCGGCCCAAACCAATGTATACTTTCCATGTATTGATTTATGACTTAACTTGTAATTCCTGAAACTCTGAAATGTATAAAACAACACTGTAACCCCACCTCAGCGAGTCTACTTGCGTGAGGCTTCTTGGATGTGGGTCTGGGTCATGGTCCTCAAATTTGGCTCCGAATAAACCTCTTTAAATTATTTTACAGAGTATGGCTTCTTATCCATTGACATTTGAACCACTGAACCACTGTGAGAATTTAGGTTAGAGAAATGGATATTTTAAAAATATTTTAGTTCTCCAGGGAGCTATATATATATAAATTTAACAAGAACTCTCTGCAGAAAATAAAGGATCTAAGTTAACATAGTGTTGTTTCTTAAAACTTAACATTTTTAGTGCATTTGCCTATAATGGAACGTGATAATAACCCTCCTTCGCCCCACCTTCAGGTAGCCAGTCAGTTATCAGATGAGGACTTTGGCCTGTGATCACAGACACTAATCTTGCCATCTGATGTTATGGGTATATACATTGATTTTGGAAGCCTGCATTGCCATTACAAGAAAAGACTGCTCATAATAATTAACTCAACAGAGTACTTTCTATGTTTCTGGCATTATTTTAAACACTTTATGTGGATTTATTCACGCAATTCCTTCTTCCGTGAAGAAGTTAATGCTTTAATCCTAATTTTCAGATGAAACTGGAGAACAAGAGGTTAAGTAACATGCCCAAGTTACAATGGCCAAGTGGTGGAGCCAGGATTCAAACCCAGGCTATTGGGTCCTAACCAATGTGCATAGGCTAGACACAAATCTGATAAGGATGTCAGTTACTAATATCAGTCCTGCTCTAAGTATCCACAAGATCTACCCAATTCAATACAAAGAGCTGTCTATCTTCCTCCCTTCTTGAGCACTGAGGAAGGAAGGCACCTGATAAGGTCTGCAGCAGCACTGGCCTCCCTGCTAAGTGCCTAGAATCAGTCCTGAACATCGGATGAGCCTGAAGCCTATGCTTCATGCGACTCATGGTGTGTAATCCATTTGCCCAGGAGAGTGAAAAACAATTTCTGATCCAAGTGCTTTCTAGGATAAAACAGAGAATTCAGGTGAAGCCTCTCTTCAAAATAACAACACTCTGAATTTGTACATATTTAAAAAAAGGGTTGTAAGTACCTTTGGATATTTAATCGTCACATTGGCATTGGCATGCTCATCTTAGAGTTAAGAAATCTGAAGATTCAAAGTGGTTGAAATCTTAAGTAACTTACCCAAAGTTATCTGCAAAACTAAGGGGGAGTTGTTACTGTGCCGAACCAAATACTAGGTATTCTGTTGAACAATTTGTAATTGGTTATCCCATTTAAATTTCAAAACAGTCTATTCAGATATGATTATTTAATATGAAGCCAGTAGACGAACTAATACACGCTTACACAAGAGAAAGACTCAATTCAATTCAAGTTGGGAAGAAGAGGGGAGGAGGTGGGAGACAGGGGTGAGGGGAAAAGTGAGGAGAATTGGTGTGGTCCCCGCCATGGGCACAAGGTAAGGTATATGGCACACCTCCCGGGTGGGGGACACCACTACAACAGGGACTTTATCTAACAGATCCAAACACTATAACCTAATTGTTTGTACCCTCACATTAAGCTGAAATTTAAAAAAGCTTTTTTTTGTTTGTTTTTTTGAGACAGAGTCTCACTCAGTGGTCCCGGGGTTGAGTACCCTGGCGTTATTGCTCACAGTAACCTCCAACTCTTGGGTTCAAGTGATCTTCTTGCCTTAGCCTCCCAAGTAGCTGGGAGCACAGGCACCTGCCAAAACGCCCAGCTATTTTTAGAGACAGGGTCTCACTCTTGCTCAGGCTGGTCTCCAGCTCAAGCGATTTGCTCATCTGGGCCTCCCCATTATAAAATTACCCGTCACCACAACAGTTAGTAAGAGAGAAGTGGGGATGAGTACTGACATATGCTATTGCTATACTGGTAGAGTATACTAGCTTATAAAATGTTTATGTGTTTTCAAAGAATTTAATATTTATACCCATTCTGTAGTTGTAGAAACAGAGGTTCATTCAGGTTGAATGATTTGCTTCAAGCTGATAACAATATGGCCCCATGTTCCCATCAAAGGTTGAGAGAAGATGTTTATCAGGGAGATGCATTTATCCCAGAGGCACCAAATTAGTGACAGGTGACATTGTGTCATCAGGAGGCTAACAGGAAACAGAAACTACTACAGGATTTAGAACAGAGGCACCCTGATGCAAGGAATTGGTTACACAAATAATCCAGGGGCTGAGGTATTATCAGAATAAGGGCACAGGGAAGCAACCTAGAGGTAGGTAAGCACCCTAGGAGAGACAGAGGAAGGATTACCTGTTGCCTGAGATCAGACACTGGAGCACCTTGTATAGGCTAGAACACTGATTTTCAACTGGTGTGCCATGAAGCATTTTTAAAGACCATTAATAAAATTATTTGGGGGGGCAGCGCCTGTGGCTCAGTGAGTAGGGCACTGGCCCCATATATCGAAGGTGGCGGGTTCGAAGCCGGCCCAGGCCAAACTGCAACCAAAAATAGCCAGGTGCAAAAAAAATGGCGGGTGCCTGTAGTCCCAGCTGCTTGGGAGACTGAGGCAAGAGAATCGTTTGAGCCCAAGAGTTTGAGGTTTCTGTGAGCTATGACACCATGGCATTCTACTGAGTGGAAACAAAGTGACACTTTGTCTCAAAAAGAAAAGAAAAGAAATTCAAATTACAGTAAGTGTATTCGTTTTTTAAATCTTCTTTTTGATCAACATAATTAAGGGTGCTGTGGAAGTTTAACTATAGGCTCAAGTGTACTGGGAGATAAAATGGTTGAAAAACACTGCTTTAGCTCATTTCGTTTGGAAGTGTCATGTTTGATGGGGCTGAACTGCTCATTTCCACTGGGAAAACCACAAGCTGAAAGGCCTCTGGTTGCCTGAAGGGTCTAGTTGAGGCCTTCTGTGTGATGATCTTTTTTTTTGCAGTTTTTGGCCAAGGCCGGGTTTGAACCCACCCCCACCTCTGGTATATGGGGCTGGGACCCGGGCCCTACTCCTTTGAGCCACAGGCACCCGCCCTGCATGCTGACCTTTGTACTAAGGATCAGATCTCGGCCCCCAGGCAACACAGTCCTTTAAGAAATGGAGCTCTGTGCTGGGAGCTCCCTCTGTAGCTGCAGTGCACAAAGTACCCGCCTTCAAGGAGATTATATTCTACTAAGGGACTTTTTGCTTTCAGGGGTACAGTGCAGTTAGCCCATGTCAGCACCACTGTACGCGCTCTCCTTACTCTGAATTCTAGACACCTAAATCCAGCAGGTCTGTCAGCCAAAAACAAGAGCACAGCTCTGGGCCTCTGTGCACACCCTTCTCTGTGCTGTGCGCTCCTACACATCCCTGAGGCCCAGCTCAGGCCACTCCTGTGAAGGTCTCATCATGATCCTCTGGCAAAACTGACCACCCCCTCCCTGGGCTCCCTGCCTGGCCTGTTTCCACCTATGCAGCACGGATCTTATTCCTTTACACAGTAGACCCCCTTATCCTCAGGGATACGGTCCATGACTCCCAGTGGATGCCTGAACCACAGAGATCCCTGAAACACACTGTACAATCACATCCCTCCCTGCCCCCCCCAGGTACATACTTCCGATAAAGTTTAATTTATGAATTAGGCACAGTAAGAGATTAATATCAACAACCAGTAACAAAATAGACCAATTATAGCAATTGTTATAACTCCTTTTGTGCTTTCAGGTCATAAAGTAAAATTAGAATTATTTCAACACAAACACTTGTAATACCATGGGAGTTCATTGGCTAACCCAGATGGCTACTAAATGACCAGGTGGGCGCTGGGGGAAATGCATATACAGAGTGGATGAACTGGAGAGAGGGAGGATTCTTGTCCTGGGTGACCAGATTTCATCCTGATACTCAAATTGGCCCACAATTGAAAACTCAGAAATTGTTTATTTCTAGAATGTTCTGTTCAATAATTTTGGAGGTAGTTAACCTCTGGCAACTGAAACTGCAGATAAGAGGGAGGATTACTGTACTTAGTTCTCCAGTACTGGGGAGTTTCTTGCCAACAAGGCCTTTTGTCCGTCCGTCATCTCTGCCACCAAGTGTCTTGTCTCTCAACACACAACATTGTTCTGAATGTAAATGAATGAAGGCATTCAACAGGCAGTGCCCAACTCGCCAGCTGGGCTTCTCGCTTAAAATCACCCTCTACGCTTTGTCCCCCCAGCCCCAGCTGTGCCCTTTGGCCACCTGCACGGGACCTCTTTCCCCTCCTTCCCTGTCCCAGCGCTGGACGGTGGAGGGCCGTGCCGAGGCAGAAGCCAGAACGCGCAGTGCCGGGCACACAGGGATTCTACTGGTCCCCGCCGAACCCCCTCCAGCCCTGACCAGGGTGGGGTGAGGCGCGATCCCTCCTTCAGGTCCGCGGCAGCCCTGCGGGCCTACCTTGCCCCCTTTACTCAGGACCTGCCAAGGCCACGTCTCTACGCTCCCGAACAGCGAGTTCTTGATCACGCCTAACATGTTGTCGCCGTCGCACTCCAGGCGCACTGGCGGCGGGGCGGGCGCAACTTGGACTCCGCCTGGCGGCTCGGAGCTCTGGGAGGCGCTCCGGGAGGGTGTCGGGGAGGAGCTCTGGGAGGGGGTCGGGGAGGAGCTCTGGGAAGGGGTCGGGGAGGAGCTCGGGGAGTGGCTCCGGGAGGGGCTCCAGGGGGCGTGCCGGGGAGCGGAGGGGCCGCGCTCCGCCTCCTCTGGGCGTCCCCGGGGTTGCGCGAGGGAACCGGCAGGTGCGCACCCGGTAGTCCCTTCTGTCTGCCCCGCCTCTTATATACTGAATCTTACCAAATGGTGGGAGACCTAGGAACAGATTCTCGCCAGGACAGGATTTATTTAGCGAGCGGTGGTGGGGAGCTTCCTACCACCTGCTCCGGCCCCTCCCTAGGTTTGCCCTCCGCTGTGTCCTCCATACCTGGGTTCCAAACTCGCTGAGTCTCCAGATTACTCTCGTGCTTTTCCCAGCTTTTACTGAAGGCTGTATGCTTGTCCGGGCAGTTGCTGCAGCCGCCAGGCTCAGGGTCGATGTAGTCCTCCCAATGGGCCCCCACCCCCTGCCGCATCTCCGCACCGAGGCCTGCCAGTTACCGCTCATCTAGGCAATTGAAAAAGCATCTTAACTGATTTCCTGCTCAACACTTTCTTTCCTACTATCCGTTTATTTTTCTAAGGCATGGCTTTGCTCATTCACTCCTATTTAAAAATCTAATTTTATCACCATGTATTGAGTTGAATGCCTGCTCCCTGCCAAATATTTTACAAATATTATCTCCATTCCTCACACCGCTGGAAAATACTTGGTAGCTGCTTTTCAAAGGAAGAAACCGGGGCTTAAAACAGTAAATTTCCAAAGTCAACAACCAGTGTGCAACTTGGTGAGGATGGGAACCCGTGTCTATGGTGTCGGTGTCAATGCTTTAATTGTACTCTGTCACTTGACCTTTACAGAGCTACACACATGTCTACATACCACGGTGTTTTGTAAGTGCTCTGTATGTTCCTACCTCTGTGCCACACTGATCTCCACCAGGACAGTTTCCCCTTCCAGCGCACGCCTTGAATTTTTTTTTTTTTTTTAAGGGAAAAGCTGTCTGCTACCCATGGGGAGTGGCCTGATTGTGGCTTGATACAGGCTCACATTCCTGGGTTCAAGTAATCCTCTTGTCTCAGCCTCCTGACGACCTGATACTACAGGCCAGGGCCACGAGGCCTGGCTAATTTTTTTTTTCATTTTTTTTTTTTGGTAGACAAGTGGTCTGGGTATGTTGCCCAGGCTGGTCTCAAACTCCTGGCCTGAAGCAATATCCCTGCCTTTATCTTCCAAAGCGCTGGAATTACAGGTGTGAGTCACCCTGTGGCCAGCCCTTGAAATCAGACATCCTTAAAAGTATTCCTCAAACACTGTGTCCCTTGCGGTCCTCCCTAAACTCCCTGTCAATTTGTTTGTTCTACTATTCTGCCTACATGAAGTTTTTTTTGTGTACTTTTTGAAGTTGTTAGCCTGTTAGCTTAATTAGTGGAGGCTTCTTTGAGCCAGCACCCAGGGACCTCCTGCTGTGCCTTCAGCCTGTAAAAGGGGAAGTTGAGTCTGAGCCAGGCAGTGGCAATCTACATGGTACAGATGACATCTAGTTTTGTCTTAACAGATAGTGACTTATGAACCACTCACAACAGATTTGTTTTTTAACAGACATTTGTTCATTGCTGTAAAATAAATTGCCATTTAATTATTCCATATTTCTTTGACTGTAAGATGCTATTGATTATTAGAGGCACTGCTATTTTATGTACCACCGAGAAAGGAAACAAATGCTACCAAGTAAACTATGACATTCAATTGATTTTAAATGGATCCAGAGACATTAAAAGGTGAAATAGCATGCAGCTTGCAATTCATAAGATGTTGTTATGTGGTTTCGTTAAGAGTCTCTGAGTATTTTTTTCTACTGATAGGTGTATCTCCTTTATTACCAATTTATCTTTGAAAGGGCAAAGATCTATTTTTCTAAGCTTTACCCTCACTAGCTACACTCATGGGTTGCCTAATAATTGTGGAATGATTAACAAAATTGTTCTTGATATGAGCTCCAAACATCTATTTTAGTCACCTAGTTAGATACAGTGAAAGGGGGACTGTTACTCCTCATGGTCAAGTGGCAAAAGCATTTGGGACTTAGAAGATCTGGATTCCAACCTGGTCCTAGTAGTGGGACCAGTATCTCTTCTGCAAATTTCTTAATCCCTGCAGAACTCAATCTCTCAGTCTTGAAGCTGGTATAATAAAGCCACCTCACAGTGCTCTTGGGAGGATCCAAGGAGCTCAGGCTCTGACAAGCACTGTGTATACACTGATAAGGCCTGGCCTCTCCCC